GAGTTAGATAAGGCAACACATACATGGCTACTCTCCAGGCCGAAATACGAATGCAAAAAACCCCATGGTTACCGATGCGCTATGCAGTGGCAAGAGACGAGGTGACAAATGCGCAGTCGGAGACGAGTAACAAGTCCAGACTTCACGCCCATCATCACTGCTGCCCAGTCAGTGCTGATGCCAGAGATCCGACGAAGATCCACTCTGATGGCCAGGAGGTGGGAGAGCAGCAGCGCCAGAAGGGAGGCAGCGTCCGCCTTGTCGACTATAAGAAGAGCCAGGTACTCCGTGACCACCCGACGCTCACGTAGGAAGGTCACGAACACGATCATGTGCTTCCCCCGGCACCTATCCGTGCTCTCGTCCAGGCTGAGCCCGATGAACGTGCTCCGCAAAAGATGCTCCAGTTGAGTTGACTGAAGCCATGTAGCCATGACCTGTGTGAATTCTCCGAAGTCGTACCTACAAACGGAAAAAGAATGATTGAGTTAGAGAAGTCCCATTAAAAAACACCAAGGACCAATCATTCAATTTGATGACTCAGGAGTTCAGGTAGGTGCCATAACCTTCCTCGGGGACGTTTTTGTAGAACCGAGAGGCGAGGTAGCATGCCAATGTGATCCACGTCTCCATCGGTTCGTTCGTCCTGCAGCAGAGGTAGAGTGAATCGAGAAGCGCCGTCAGCCGTTCCTTCTCAAGATCAGTGGCACGGGGATTCTGGTCGATCCTCGTCTGCGTTGTTGTCTCATGCAACAGAGCAGCCTGCTTCCTGTAGGCAAGACGATGCTTCCCAGTGCCAGCGTGTCTGGTGAAGGCTTGTGTCTGGGCGTCCGAGAGACTAGTGCCACGGCGTCCGCTCTTCCCTGAGAGACCTGCATGGTCCATACACAACTGACACTTGAAGGCCGGGAGGCCTTCTTTAGTCTTGACAAGCAAAAGCCAAGGAAAAGCATCGCTCCATTTTTTCTCATATTTACTGAGCGCATCTGCGTACTGCTCAGTTGTGGTTTTCACCTTCTTCGTAGTCATCGGCATGTCGTCCACTGACTCAGCATCGTCGGAAGCGGGGTTGGACGGTGGAGACACTTTGCTAGCCTGTTTGGGCTGCGCGAATGGGAAAACAGCCTGACGGTAGCACCCAGGGCGCTTAGCAGGTCCAGCCGTGGGCGACGGATGCTTGGCAGGAGCAGGCGTGGAGCAGGGCTTATGCTAATAGGATGAATGCTCGTTCTTGACAAATTTTCAGGGTTTTTTTAGAGGCAGCCCTTGAAAAAAATAGTTCAAAATTTACTCTCTCGTTGGTTTTCAAGGGACTTTTGGGTGCCAGCCTTTTCGTCCGAGAGAAGTTTGAGGCTACCCATAGCCAGACCCCATCCCCCCCCCCCACCCCCCCGCGAGAGAGAACTTCCTCCTCACCTCACGTGTGCTGCCCTGCTAATCTAGGCAGCTCGCGCACCTCATCTCGCTCGTCCACCAGCCATTTCAGCTCCTCCAGTAATCTCGCCCCTCCTCCAGTCAGTTGGCCCCTCAAATCTCGCTCGCTGTTTCCGTCCGTGACGAGAGTAAGGTTGGTGTGTTGTGAGTTCTTGGCTAGCATACCTCTAAACCTTTTTTAGACATTGCATGCATTAATAACTTGAATTTTATGGACAATTCATATATGTGATTTGTAATGTAACGTAACTAGACAGATAAAAGAGCGTTTTTAAAGGAAGCTCGGATTTGGCCGAGGGGATCAGGTGCGAGCCCTTTTCGTAAGGGCACGATTTGTCCGTGCCGTTTTTTTTCAGGGTAAGCTTCGAGGGGTGCCCTGAACGTCCGAGCGGCGCAAGAACCTAGCAGAAGCCCTGGCGTGGAGGGACCGGGCTTAGGATAAGGGACATGCTCTATGACTGCAACGGATACAGAATCGCTGGTGGTATTTTTGTCTGGTTCCTCCTGGCCGAGACGTGTGGTTCCTCTAAGAGGCATGCGCGTAAGGCTAGATAAAGTCGACAGCAACAGGTCCAGGCCAATGGTGAAGTCCGCACGCTGGCCGTCATCTGCATCACCATCGGCCGGTTCCCCGTAGATTGGCTCTACCATGACAGGGTGAGACACAGCTTTAGAGGAGCTACCAATTGAAGAGGGAATGGCTACACGAGGAACGAAAAACCTCGGGTAGATAGGCAAGTACAACAGTAGTTGAAGATGAAGAGATTTGATTAGCTTTATTGCAGAAATTTGACATGACTATGGCATTTGTAACGACTATCTGGATGCAAGGTGTAAGGAATTACGATTCCTTACTGGGGCACGCCACAGCGAGTACACGCGAACCTCTCGGGTCCGCAGGCTCGGCCCTTGGTTCTCGCGCCAAACCAGCCCCCGCCGACCTCGACGGCCCCAACCTCATCCCAAGTCGCCCCCAACCCATTTTGATCCCGTCACCCTCGGGACTATCAACCCTGGACATTCAACCTGGCCAACTCGCACTATATAAGCCCTAGGCCTCATTTGTATCGTCACTTTGTAATCCGTTCCCCTATAGTATTCTGCGCTATACTCTGAATTATAATTCATAACAGCTCGTATCAGAGCTACGGTCATGCCCATTAGGTTTCCGGTAGGGGAGCAGACCTTATCGGGGAAGGGGGCGGAAGGGTGCTGATGGCGAGCGGACGACACGGAGATTAATTGCGCGGGCGTTGCCGATGCCGTCGGATCCTGTCCGATGGACGGCTGGGATTAGCCGGTTCTTCCCTTCCCCGGGCAGAGACGGAATTATTTCCCGTCGAAGAGTGGGCGACATTTTCGCTGTGTTTTTCGGGTTTGTTGGTTAGAGCTTTCATTATTTTCGGGTGTTCGGACGGAGTCTTGGGATTGGCTTCCGAAAAAAACGAAGGCTTCATCAGGAGAAGACAAGTGCAAGGGAGTCCTCAGGCGGCCAGGAGTTGGTCGTCAGGAGCACGCGGGGTGGCGAAAATGGCGGGATGTACGGCGATGTGCGTCTAGTGCGCCATGAAGCTGCAGGGTAAACTGTAGCTGTATCGTGGGTCCCGGCGTTTTCGGCAGGCTAGTTGCAGACCATGGATGGGACTTCAACACTGTTTCGACAATGGGCGGATCCGACAATTTCGGAACAAAATGATCGCACGAGGACGTGTGGGTGTGCAGTTGTGTGGGAGCAGCTGGGATTAATGACCTCGGCGCTATTCACCACAACGGCCACCTGGAGGTGATGACGTTGTGCTGGAGTGAGTGTATTCAGCGAGGGCGACTTTCCGCGTGGGGAGGCGTTTTTCGTGGACAAACGATTCATACCCCCACGATCAACGGAAGCGGGGGGCACCACCATTGGGTGTGTATTAAGTGTTTTTCCACCGGTCGCCGAAAGCATTAACTGCCAAGAGTTGAAGTAGTGGGAGAAGAACGACGGGAGTACTGGAGCATATGGGTTAGCGGCATTTGGGCCGCTGCTCGCTCAGCTACGTTGCCCGAAAATCATCATCCCCACCAGGTACCAGTGTCGCAGCCAAGCCTAGGGGGTGACTACCAAGCCTAGGGGGTGTAGGCTTGGTAGTTATGCTACAAACTGCATCCTACTGTAGAGGGGACAACCCCCTTCTTGTTCCTCATTCTCTTCGAGTCGACTCTCTTCTCTCTCGATATCTTCCCTAGCTAAACCCCGCCCGCCATTCCATGACGGCCTCCTGTCCTTGTTAACTAGCTTTCCGACACCCACGTCATTCGACCGTTCATCACTACTCGGGATATTCATCATGATCATCCTGCAACGCGTCATCATTACCCGCCCACGCGACAGTTAGCTATTGAACAGCATCGCTCATCTTCATCATTTCGACACTGGGGAGTTTTCGTCATTGCCCGTTCGGTCAACTGAAGAAGTCAATAATCTTCAATGACTCCGATCGATTACGATCGCTGCGACATGTTTCAGCCGTTGGATTGAGTTTTACCTCATGAAGTCTTGTCATCATTGCGCCCATCAAGATTCGACGATCAGGATCGACCGCGACCGTTTCGACGTTTTCTATGTTAAGTTATACTTTATAGGTATATAATTGTAGGCTTGGTAGGTCTTGCTGAATCCTACTGTAGAGGGTACAACTCCCTCGATGTATCCCTCTCTTCTAATCTCAACACTTCTCTCTCGACATTTTCTCTTAGCCTAAAAACACCTCTCGCCATTCATGGCTCCCCCCCCCTAGCTAGTTGATCTTAACATTTTGACCTTGATCGCAGTTCGACTTGAAGACCTCGTCAGGCCGGCGTAATCATTACGCTCGTCACAGGGCTGAAGACTTATAGTCACTTCGAGGATTAACTTAGATAAAAGGTTCGATCTCGATAAAGGGAGTGCTTTCCTTTAGAAGGTGGGAGAGTGTAAGGAATTACGATTCCTTACTGGGGCTCGCCACAGCGAGTACACGCGAACCTCTTGGGTCCGCAGGCTCGGCCCTTGGTTCTCGCTCCAAACCAGCCCCCGCTGACCTTGACGGCCCCAACCTCATCCCGAGTCGCCCCGAGCCTATTTTGACCCCTATCAAGCCCTTGACTGGTCCAAGCCTCGACATTCAACCTGGTCAACTCGGACTATATAAGCCCTAGGCCTCATTTCTATCGTCACTTTGTAATCATGTTCCCCTACAGTATTCTGCGCTATACTCTGAGTTATAATTCATAACACAAGGACTGTGTAGATTGTAGGGACGCTGATTTTGTGACGGGAAGCTTCTTAGAGCTATTTTCTCCCCTGGCTTTTGCCTTTCCATATCGGTTCCTTTCAGCTAGAATTTCCTTGCCGTGTCAAACATGCTCACCGCGCACCTCGCTTCAACTCACCTCACCTCACCACACCCCATTTCACCTCACCTCAGTTCACTCCACCTCACCGCACCTCACCTCATGCCACGTCGCCTCACCACCACCAGCTCCTCTCAACTGCAACCTACTTCCATTGCTGGCAGGCCATCAGGACGATTCCCAGCAGTGTTCCCTAACCAGCGCGAAACGAGCTTTCTAGGCCAGTGCTTCCTGCTCTTCACCTTCTAGGTTCGTCTACGAAGTAGCGGGCTTCGGTAGCTAGAGGAAGTCGTGAATCTTGGTGAGGGGACGTTCACTGATCCGTGATTCGTAACGATTCCTCATCTCCGCAGCCTGGCAGCAGTAGGTACACATGCGGAAACTGTCTGACAGCAGTAGGAGCCTAAGAATCTATCTCCAGAGCCAGCACATCAGTAGGTCGAGACACCACTTGGATGGTTCAACAGTCGACGTAAAATTCAACGCAGCAGTAGGTACACGCGAGTATCTGGCACCTAGGTCCAACCACTTAGGGTTCGTATGGTGAGATCCGTGGTACAGCGTCTGTCTGACTAGGTACACAGCACCCGTCACCGTCATCCGGTCATCCAGATTATGTTCGACTAGAGAACCTCTCGCATGTCAAGTATCGCCTTAGGGTTCGTAGTGTGACTCGCGTTCTTCCAGGGAATCAATACTAGCTAGCTGCTCAAGTCGCGTCACGCCAGGAGCTCTAAGCCGCCAAGACATCAAGACCGCTTTACGACGCCACGTCAGCATGAGCTTTCAGGATATCGGCCGGTCGCCAGGCCCTGCCGGCGGGGGTATGAACGGAGTCGGCCGGCCGACTTCCGGGCCGTCTAGTCAGACGGCGCCATCAAGTCAAGCGGTGGCATCGGGCGTGTTTCAGATGAACACGGCAGTGGGGACGTTCAAGCGGCTGGTCAACACGCTCGGCACCGCTAAGGACACCGTCGAGCTCCGCGAGAAGCTGTGCGTACGCGTTGTGTGATGAGTCGATTTCCGTAAGAGTATCAAAGTCGTCTTGTCAACACGCTCGGTACCGCTAAGGACACCGTCGAACTCCGCGAGAAGCTGTGCGTGCCCTCAGGGTTTCGTCTCGTTCTCGAATGGCTTGAGCTCGGTTTCGGGCTTGTTTCGTTCTTTCATCAGAGAGCGTTTCCCGTGCCATTCGTGGTCCTCCTTCCTTCTCTTCCTCTTCCTTCTCTTCCTTACGCTGTGTTTTAGGTGTTAGCGAAGTCTGGCCTCCGTCTCAAACTTCCACCTCGCTTCCTCTCTTAATAACTTCCTTTTCCCATCCCTTTGTCCCCCGTCATCCTCCGTCTTTGATCATCACCCTCCGTCACCCTCCGTCTACCATCCGTCAACCGTCCGTCAATCTGCAGGCACAAGTCGCGGCAGTACATCAGCCATCTCGCCAAGGACACCGCGCAGAAGCTGAAGGACGCCTCTGCGCGCGACCATTCCGCTGGCGTCAGCGTGAGTTCCATCCGGGTCCTCTCTTATCCGCTTCCCCGCTTCCCCGCGTCACCTCTTCCCCCCTTCCCCGCTTCCCCCCTTCCCCCCTTCCCCCCTTCCCCCTTCCCCCTTCCCCCTTCCCCCCTTCCCCCCTTCCCCCCTTCCCCCTTCCCCCCTTCCCCCCTTCCCCCCTTCCCCCCTTCCCCCCTTCCCCCCTTCCCCCCTTCCCCCCTTCCCCGCTTCCCCCTTCCCCGCTTCCCCGCTTCCCCCCTTCCCCTCTTCCCTCGTCCTCTCTCCCTCGCCTCCTACCCTTACCCCTCATCCCACCCTTGGAGATTTCCCCGTCTTCGTCCTCCTATCTTGGTAGCTATATGCGATGCCCTGCGAAATCGCAGGCGACGCAGAAGATCTGCGACGCGAAGCTGGCGAAAGACTTTCAGGTGGTGCTGCGCGAGGTCGAGCTTTCCCCATGTACCTGACACCCTGTGAACCCTGTGAACCCTTGTGAACTCCTGTGAACTTCTGTGCACCCCCGTGTAACCCCTGCAACAGGCTACTCAGAAGATCAGCGACGCCAAGCTCGCCAAAGACTTCCAATCGGTTCTCCGCGAGTTCGAGCGCGCGCAGCACCTCGCGGCGGAGCGGGAGGCCGCGTTTGCGCCCTTCGAGAGCCCGCGCCGGGGCGGAAGCGCGCAGCTGCTGCAAGGAGGGGGAGCGGGAGCGGCAGGGGCTCCATCGGTGGTTTCGCTGGGGTCGTCAGGAGGGTCTTCTGGCAGTGCGAGAGGGAAAAGGTAGGTGGCAAGGGAAGAGAATGATCGGATCCGTGGCCATGCGAGCGAGAGAGAGAGGGAGAGAGAAAGAGAGGCCACCTCTGGAGACATCCGCGTGGGGGGGAAGGGGGGGAAAAAGGGGGGGGGTAGAGGGGGCGGGGGCAAGAGGGGGAGCGGGGACCGGGTGGTGGAGGGAGGGGGAGGGAGAGGCTGCGTCAGTGGGCTGCGTCGGTGGGGCAGTCAGCAGGCAGTGCGTGCCTAACGTTGAGGCGCCTCAAAACTAGACGGACGAGGAAAGTGGAAAGGTAAAGTAGGGTGGGAGTAAGTGAAAGGGCGGTAAGTAGGCGGTGCGGGCCTAACCTTCAGTTTCCCTCCCGCCCCTTTGCCTGTTCCCGCTGCTGCAGAGCAGCAGGCAGTGTGGGCTTGTCTAGTGCTGGAGGAGGGGGTAAAGGAAGGGCAGATGAGGTACTTGTTTTCGACTGTGCCCCCATTGCAGCACGCCCCTTTACCCCCCACTACTCTTCCCGTGGCCGCAGGGCGGCAGGCAGTGTGGGCTTGTCTAGTATTGGGGGAGGAGGGGCGCATTTGGCGGAACAGGGGGAGAGGGAGGAGCAGCGGGACCCTCTTCTCGCGCAACAGAGGTGAGAACAAGGCTTGTGAGGGGCGCATTTTGCAGTTGCGTATTCCGCATCCCCTCGCATATGCCTTCCTTCCTCCCCTCCTCTGCCTCCTTCCTGCGTTGCCTCTACTGTCTGCCTGCCCCCCCCCTCTGGCTTTCTCTCTCATCCTTACCGCTTCCCCTATCAGCCCTCCCTCTTCCCATTTTCCAACCCTCCCTCCCCACCTCCCACCCCCTACCCCCCCCCAATCCTGCTTCGCCTTCCCCCTACTTGTGTTGCAGACATGAGATGGCAGTAGTGGAAGGCGAGTTGGCTTATAACGAGGCAGTGATAGAGGAGAGGGAGCAGGGTATTCAGGAGATTCAGCAGCAGATAGTGGAGGTGAATGAGATCTTCCAAGACCTGGCAGTGCTGGTCAGGGAGCAGGGAGGCATGATTGGTGAGTCACTGGGCTTGTAACGAGTTGGCCTTGTAACGAGTGAGGCTTTCAGGAGATTCAGCAGCAGATAGTGGAGGTGAATGAGATCTTCCAAGACCTTGCAGTGCTGGTCAGAGAGCAGGGAGGCAAGATTGGTGAGTCACTGGGCTTGTAACGAGTTGGCCTCGTAACGAGTGAGGCTTTCAGGAGATTCAGTAGCAGATAGTGGAGGTGAATGAGATCTTTCAAGACCTGGCAGTGCTGGTCCGAGAGCAGGGAGGAATGATTGGTGAGTCTCTGGACTTAAAATGAGCTGGTTTATAACGAGTAGTAAGCCTTTCAAAATATTTAGCCACTGATTGTGGAGGTGAATGAGATCTTTCAAGACCTGGCAGCACTGGTCAGGGAGCGAGCAAGGCAGCATGATCAGTGAGTCAGTGGGCTTATAACATGTTGGGTTAAATCGAGCAAGTAAGGCTTTCAGGAGATCTAGCAGCAGATAGTGGATGTGAATGAGATCTTTCAAGACCTGGCAGGCTGGTCAGGGAGCAAGGCAGCATGATCAGTGAGTCAGTGAGCTTATAACATGTTGGGTCAAAACGAGCAAGTAAGGCTTTCAGGAGATTTAGCAGCAGATAGTGGATGTGAATGAGATCTTTCAAGACCTGGCAGTGCTGTTCAGGGAGCAAGGCAGCATGATCAGTGAGTCAGTGGGCTTATAACGAGTTGCCTTGTAATGAGTCAGAGGTCTAAGGGGAAAACATAGAGGGATGGGTCAAGCACACAGGCAAACAGCTCAGATGTGTCCCTTGCACGTTTCGCACACCTTGTTTCTTCTTTCCCCCATGGACGATGTAGAGGCAAACGTAGAGGGCTTGAGGTCACAAGCAACTTAATGCCACCAAGCAGCTCAAATCTGTCCCCTGTGCATTTTACACCCCTTTTCTTCACTTGTTTATTCATTTCCCCACAGACGACATAGAGACAAACATAGAGGGCTCGAGGGCGCAGGCAATCAACGCCAACAAGCAGCTCACCCAGGCAGCAAAGAGTCAACGCGAGTCCAGCTCTTTTGTAAGCACGCCACAAGTAGTGGCCTATCTGCCCCCCCCCCCCCCCCCCCCGCCCGGTTTCCCACCGATTTCTCAACACCTCCCCTCTTCTGCCCACCATCCCCCCCACCCCTCTTCCCCCTGCGTACTTCTAACCTTCACTTGGTCCCCCTTTTCGCCCTTGTGCCCCCTTCCGCTTGTTACAGACGTGTTGGGTGATGGCAGTTTTTGCCATTGCTCTCTTCATCTTCTTCCTCATCATGTCTGCCTGAGGTGTGTGGTGTGTAGGCACGGAAGTCTGCTAATCACTTGTTAGCACGTTATCAGCATCATGTAGTACTGTTCACGAGAAATAAGTATGCTGTTTTTATAGTGGATACTCCAGATGGAATGTTCATTATGTTTAGAGATACATATGTACTATGCATAAGCCTTAATTAATTATGTTTAAACGTTTCCATACTGATGTACCGGTACAGAGGTCAAAGCCGCGGCCAATTGCTGAGTTGCTGTTGGTGTTGTGATTGTGTCGAGTCAGTCCTGGTGGAGGATAGCCCTGCAACTTCCGCTGATATCTCTCCACATCAGCATCTCGACGGTGATGATGCTGCAGATATATCTGACGTCCGCGGATGATTCCGTGGCACGAGGAAGATTCGAAATCGCGGCTGTCCATTCGCGACGCGATTGCCCTGTGAATGCACTTTTCCATCGTGATCGCTCGCGCGTGCCAGTTGGTCATCTTCGTCGGCGTGTAGCCTCTGTGGCGCCGCCACGCCGTCTTTGCTGCCATCCAGCAGCCAATCACCGTCGCTCCTGCCTCTTCATTGCCAAGTGGCCTTCTTTCAGAGGTGCAACCAGTCTCGAGGTCCCCGCATCCACTCACCCAACCATCAATCCGCGCTGGCCGTCAGATCAGAAGCCGCCAGATTCCGTCATCCCCGAGCAGTCCCAGTCAAGTGGTTACCAAATACAAATCAGCTCTTCGCAGCAGCTTGCCCAACGGCTCTCGGCTTTCGTCAGAAAGGTCGTCAACTTTCTGTCGCTTTGGGATTGGTTTGGTTTGTCAACTTCCCGTCGTCTCTTTCTGCTTCTCCTTCCCTCGGTATCTCCCCAACCCCTTCACCCTAAATTCCAGCCATGGCTACCATGTCTGTCACTTCCTGCTCACTCCCTCCGCTACTCTCCGGCGAGGTGTCTCTGAGTGACGAAGCATAGGCTGAGTCAGAGATCGCACCAACCTAGTGTGTCAACTGATTTGACGACTCAGCTGGAGTCTTTTTTACGCGACGCCACGCTTTTGCCGTGCTTTGCTGTAGCTCGCATTCTCGGGCTTCGTTTTTTCCAGGACGAATACAGGCCCTAGAGCAAGTAACCAAATCACGCCTTCGGAAAAACCATGAGCGGTCCCGTCGTGCTCTCAAGCTCCGGTTTAAATCCGGCTTGCGCTTCTCGAGCTCAGAGCAGCAATTCCATGTCGTTAGCGTCTTCTCCGCTTGCACTAAAGCTGGACCTCCCTCCTCTCAAGTTCAAGCCCATGACGAGTCACGCTATCTCTATCCCTCTCCGCCATGGCTCGTCTCTCAATGCCCCTCTCCACGGCTCTCAGCGTCGCACGTTTCGCCCGACGGAGTGCAGAATTCGCCAGGGGAAGAAAGCCGTCGCACAGCTGTCGCAACTGTCGCAGGCCGCCGTCGCGGTAGAGGTGGAGGAGGAAGTGGACGTGGGGATCATGCAGCCTCGCGAAATTCACCATTCGCAGTTACCACATCACGAGTCTCCAGGCACCCCTTCCGGTACCCCTCCAGGCTCCCCTCGTCGCGGAGCCGGCAAATCTGCCGGCTCCGGTAAAACTACCGGCGATCGCGCCGGAGCGTCCAGCGTGTCATCCGGAGTGCGGCTCGAGGGGGTGACTAAGACATTCAAGGGAGTGCAGCTGTTAACGGACATTTCTTGGGAGGTTAAACGCGGGGAGCGGGTGGGTTTAGTCGGCGTGAACGGCGCGGGGAAGACCACCCAGCTGAAGATTATAACGGGGGAGATTGAGCCGGACACCGGCGTTGTGCTTAAAGCGCGGCCGAACATGAAGATTGCGTACCTCACGCAGGAGTTCGACGTCGTCCCTTCGCGAACCGTTCGCGAAGAGTTCCTCTCCGCGTTCCAGGAGCAGATGGAGATTAAAGACCGCCTGGAGGAGGTTCAAGCCGCGCTGGAGCGCGCTACGGAGGACATGGAGTTAATGTCGCGGCTCCTAGACGAGTTAGACGACCTCCAGAAGAAAGCCGAGGCGCTCGACTTGTACAGCGTCGACGTGGCGATTAATAAGATGATGCCTGAGCTCGGGTTCGGCCCGGACGATTCGGAGCGGCTCGTGGGTTCTTATAGCGGGGGGTGGCAGATGCGAATGTCTCTGGGGAAGATTCTGCTACAGCAGCCGGATTTGTTACTTCTCGACGAGCCTACTAATCACCTGGACTTAGACGCGATAGAGTGGCTGGAGAAGTACTTAAAGCAGCAGGACGTCCCCATGGTAATAGTCTCCCACGATCGCGCGTTTTTAGACCAGCTTTGTAATAAGATCGTGGAGACGGAGATGGGGATTAGTATGACGTTCCCCGGGAATTATAGCGCGTATGTGGCGGCGAAGGCGGAGTGGATCGAGGCGCAGCGGATGGCGTGGGAGCGGCAGCAGAAGGAGATCGCGCGCACGGAGGAGATGATCGCGCGGCTGCAAGGCGGAGGAAATGCTGGGCGCGCTTCTTCCGCTGAAAAGGTGAGAGGGGAGAGGTGAGGTGGAAGAGGAGGAGGAGGTGAGATATAGGAGAAGGTAAAGAACGGGAAGTGAGAAGGGGGGTGGCACTGTAGGAGATCGCGCGGACGGAGGATATGATCGCGCGGCTGCAGGGAGGAGGGAACGCGGGGCGCGCTGCTCATTCCTCTCATCCCCCTGAGCCTCTCCCCTCCCTCGTTCCCTCCCCCTTAGCCTCTCCCCTCCCTCGTTCCCCCCCCTTCCCCCTCTCAGGCTCTGGAGCGCCGGCAAGAGGAGGGCGCGGTGGAGAAGCCCTCGCGCACAAGCAGATACTGTTCCGCTTCCCCTTCCGCCCATATCCTCTCTCCGCAATGTCCCTCTCCCTCCCCCTCAGGCTCTGGAGCGCCGGCAAGAGGAGGGCGCAGGCAGCGGAGAAGCTGTTTGAGCGCACCTTAATGAAAAAGTCGTGTGACACTGTAACGAGGTGACTTTTGAGTCGACTCAAAAGCAGGTGCGGTTGCGCTTTCCCGAGCTGGAGCGCATCGGGCGCATCACAGTGCGGGTCGCGAACCTGTCGCACAACTACGTGCAGAACAGAAGCAACGGAGCAGCCAGGAGCGAGCTGTTTGACAAGGCGAAGCTGCAGATCGAGTGCGGGGAGAAGCTGGCTTTCATACTGCCTTCCCCTTCCCCCAATGCCCCTCCCCTCTCCCCCTCAGGCTCTGGAGCGGATGCAAGAGGACGGCGCGGTGGAGAAGCCCTTCGAGCGCAAGCAGATGCGGTTCCGCTTCCCCGAGCTGGAGCGCAGCGGGCGCATCACGGTGCAGGTGGCGAACCTGTCGCATAGCTACGTGCAGAAGAACGGAGATCAGAACGAGCTGTTCGACAAGGCGAAGCTGCAGATCGAGCGCGGGGAGAAGCTGGCGTTCATCGGGCCCAACGGGTGCGGCAAGAGCACTCTCCTGCGGTTCATCATGGGGTTCGAGGAGCCCGAGCATGGGATTGTGGCGCTGGGGGAGCACCGGGTGGTGCCCAACTACTTCGCGCAGAACCAGGTTAGTTCGTCTCCTTGGACTGCTGCCCACGCAACAGGCAGTACACAGAGGCAAGAGCACTCTCCTGCGGTTCATCATGGGGTTTGAGGAGCCCGAGCACGGGATTTTGGCACTGGGGGAGCACCGCACCGCGTGGTGCCGAATTATTTCGCCCAGAACGAGGTGGGTTTGGGTCGGTTTGGGTGGGTGTGGGTGCTGCCTGCTACGCAATAGGCTGGTCACAGAGGGAAGAGCACGCTGCTGCGGTTCATCATGGAGTTTGAGGAGCCTGAGCACGGGATTGTGGCAGTGGGGGGGCCCACCGCGTGGTGCCCAACTACTTCGCCCAGAACCAGGGTAGTCCGAGTCCTTGGGCTGCTGGCTGGCTGCTCAAGGGGGGCTGCACGCAGAGGGAAGAGCACGCTGCTGCGGTTCATCATGGAGTTTGAGGAGCCCGAGCACGGGATTGTGGCGCTAGGGGAGCACCGGGTTGTGCTGAATTACTTCACCGGGTTAGGCTGCTGGCTGGCTACTCGACAGGTTGCACCTATTTTTGAGGCGCCTCAAAAATGGGCCCTTAGGCTGCTGGCTGGCTACTCGACAGGTTGCACCTATTTTTGAGGCGCCTAAAAAATGGGCCCTTAGGCTGCTGGCTGGCTACTCGACAGGTTGCACGCAGATAGCTCGCGGAGGGAAGAGCGGCCTGCAGATCCACCGCGGCTCATTTTCCTCCCATCGCTCACCGCCCCTCCGTCCCTCTCTCCTCGTCTCAGGCCCAGGCGCTGGATCTGGATAAGACGGTGCTGCAGACAGTGGAGGAGGTGGCGAAGGGGCGTCGCAGGATGCACTGCTTGCCCCGTGCCCCCCTCTTCTCCCCCCTCACTCATTCCTTGTGTATCTCCTACTCCCCCTCCGTCCCTCTCCCATCTCCTCAGGCCCAGGCGCTGGATCTGGATAAGACGGTGCTGCAGACAGTGGAGGAGGTGGCGGAGGGGTGGAAGATGAACGACATCAAGGCGCTACTGGGCAGGTATTGCTGAGGGAGGTGGATGTGTTGGCTCATAAGGTACTGACTAGGTTGACTCAAAAGTCACCTGGAAGTGGCGGAGGGGTGGAAGTTGAACGACATCAAGGCCCTGCTGGGCAGGTATTGCTGGGGCAGGTATTGCTGGGGCGGGCATTGCTGGGGCAGGTATCACTGGGGCAGGTACTGTCGGTGCAGGGCGTCTGGTATTTTGGCAGGCACTTGTTGAAACTCCATTTCTTCTGCACCCTTTCTCGCTCCCCTTCAGCTCTCGCTCCCCTCCTCTCCCCTTGCAACCCCTCCTTTCATCTCACTTACCTCCTGCTCGACCCCCAGCAGGTGCAACTTCAAGGGCGACACGTCTAGGAGCAAGGTGGCGTTCCTTAGTGGCGCACACACACGGTCACCACCCCTTTGTACCCCATCCCAACCTCATCACACTCCTCTCATCTCTGTCTTCTTTTTTTTTCTCCCCCTGGCAGGTGCAACTTCAAGGGAGACACGTTGAGGCGCAAGGTGGCGTTCCTCAGCGGCGGGGAGAAGGCCCGCCTGGCCCTCTGCAAGTTTATGGTCACCCCGGCCACACTGCTGGTGCTGGACGAGCCCACCAACCACCTGGACATCCCCACCAAGGAAATGCTCGAGGTGGGTTGGGTTGGGTATTGGGGGAGGAGGGGGGTGGGCTGCAGGGAGTCACTCAGGCCCGCCTGGCCCTCTGCAAGTTCAAGGTCACCCCGGCCACGCTGCTGGTGCTGGACGAGCCCACCAAGCACCTCGACATCCCCACCAAGGAAATGCTCGAGGTGCGGCGGGTTTTAGGGGACTAGGGAGGGGTGGGTTGGTGGGGGCTAGGAAGCATTGCTTGAGTTCACAGGGACAGTGCTGGCCGTGCCGCATGACCGATACTTCCTGGGGCAGGTCGTCAATTCCGGTACCCTCATTCGCCCTGTTCCCCCTTGTGTAATGAGACGATTTTTGAGTCAACTAAAAAATCGTCTCATTACACACTGTCCCCCTTCCCCTCTCCCCCCCTTCCCCCCCCCCCCCCCCCCCTTCCCCCCCCCCCCTCTCCCCACAATCGTTTACCAGGAGGCACGCGTGAGTTCACAGGCACGGTGCTGGCAGTGTCGCACAGCCGATACTTCCTGCGGATGATTGTGAATCTCCTTTCTCCTTTTCTCCCTGTTCCCCCTTCTCCTCTCTCCCCCCTCCCTCTCCCCACATTCGTTTACCCGGAAGCCCTACGTGAGTTCACAGGCACGGTGCTGGCAGTGTCACACGGCCGATACTTCCTGCAGATGATTGTGAATCCCTGTTCCCCCCTTCCCCCCCTGCCCTCCCCCCTGCTGCCCCCGGGCCTTTCCTACTCTTATTTCCAGGAGGCATTGCGTGAGTTCACCGGCACAGTGCTGGCTGTGTCGCACGACAGATACTTTTTACGGCAGATCGTGAATCGCGTGGTTGAGGTGAAGGATAAGAAGCTGCAGGACTACAGTGGTGACTATAATGTGAGTTGTGACTGCATGGATGGGGAGGGGACTAGAACGTCAGTGAAGTTGCAGTTTAGCTCAAGTGTCGCCTCAGAATGTGAGTTGTGCGGTTGAGGTGAAGGACAAGAAGCTGCAGGATTACAGCGTCGACTAAAATGTGAGTGCTGACGTGACTGTATGTATGGTGACTAAAATGTCAATGCCGGTGGTGTTGGGCAGGTGACTAAAACCTTTTGTTTTTTCTGCTCTAGCTTGATTTCTTTTGGGTTGCCGTAGGAGGTAACTTGAGATGCATTAGTGTTCGCCGCTATATTCCCTATCCTCAACCCTCACCCCCCCCACCCCCTCTCCCCCGACTTTTCCCCCCCTTCCCTCCCTCTCAGCTGCAGTATTACCTGGAGAAAAACCTTGCAGCGCGGCACAAGGCGTACTTCACATGCATGCACTCACTCCCCTACTCTCCCCCCTATCCCCCCTCCCCCCCCCCCCCACCCACCCCCTGCGCAGTATTACCTGGAGAAGAACCTGGAGGTGCGGCGCAAGGAGCTGGAGGGTACTAGACGTGCATGCACTCACTCCGCTACTCTCCCCCTATCCCCCCGCCACCAACCCCCTGCGCAGTATTACCTGGAGAAGAACCTGGAGGCGCGGCGCAAGGAGCTGGAGAGAGAGTCGGAGGTGGAGGCTGCTGCGCCTGTGGTGAAGGCCAAGAGCAAAATGAGCAAGGTGGGAAGAGGGGGAGAGGTGAAGCGGTGAAGGTTTTGGGGAGGGGAGAGAAGGGAGTGGGGGCAGGGTAGTGGGAGAGATTGGAGAGAGACAGTGAGGTGGAGGCTGCTGCGCCTGTGATGAAGGCCTAGAGCAAGATGAGCAAAGTGGGAAGAGGGGGGGAAGGCAGTGGAGGATGGGGGCAGAGTCAGTGGGTCTGCTTTGAGTCGACTAAAAAGCAGAGGTAGTGGGGTTGAGAGTGCGAGAGTGACAGAGCTTGTGCGGAGCGGAGTGGGGAGGAGGCTTCTGCCCCTGTTTTGAAGGCGAAGGGCAATTTGAGCACGGTGGGAAGAGAGGGGAGAGGGGGGGGTAGAAGAACCTGGAGGCACGGCGCAAGGAGCTGGAGGGTACTAGACGTGCATGGAGGGGAGAGGGGGGGTAGGAGAGTGGAGAGAAGCGGGTGGGTGCAAGGGGTAGTGGGAGAGCAGCAAGAAGCTGGAGAGTGGGGAGTCTGAGGTGGAGGCTGCTGCCCTTGTTGTTCAAAAAGAGGGAGAGGGGCTCAAAAGTGAGCAAGAACAAGCAAAACAGGCCAAGAGTAATGTTCTTTCTTGGTCACATTTCTCCCCTCTCCCCCCCCCTCCCTCTCTCTCCACGACTTGTGCATGCAGGCTGAGAAGGAGCTCCAGAAGAAGCAGAAGGCGCAGGCGCTCCTTTCTCCACCGCCCTTCGCACCATGCAATCATCCCTCCCCCCCCCTCCCTCTCTCTCCACGACTTGTGCATCCAAGCTGAGAAGGAGCTCCAGAAGAAGCAGCAGGCGCAGGTGTTCCCCTCTCCACCACCCTTCGCACCATGCAATCATCCCTCCCCCCCCTCTCTCTCCCCCCCCTCCTCACTCCACGACTTGTGCATGCAGGCTGAGAAGGAGCTCCAGAAGAAGCAAGAAGGCGCAGGCGTTCCCCTCTCCACCGCCCTTTGCACGATGCAATCATCCCTCCCCCCCCTCTCTCCCCCCTCCCCTGCCTCTCTCTCCACGACTTGTGCATGCAGGCTGAGAAGGAGCTCCAGAAGAAGCAGAAGGCGCAGGCGTTTCAGAACAAGCAGGCGCAGGGCAAGGTGAACAAGAATGCCAAGCGATGGTCGTAGGAGCAGCAGTGCCAGTGAGGCATGTTGAGAGAGATTGTAGGATGGATACCTGGGGTACATGTTGAGAGATCGGATGCATGCATGCAAAGCGTTTTACAACAGTGGGGTGGTCTGTGTGTAACTAAGACATCCATAAGAATAAAGACGTACTCCTGTCCTGTGCTCTGGATTTGGCTGTAAATTGTGGTCTGTGATGCCCTTAAAGCGCGGGTCTCGAGAAGCAAAAAACCAAATCCTTAAAGCCGGCGACTACATTTGAGGGGGTTCGTGGTGTAGCTTTAGGATTTGTCGGCCTGGTATTGCGTGATTGGCTTACGAGAGAGGCGATACTGGACAACTGACGACAGAGTATGCGGACTTCGCAAGCATCGAGAAGTGGGAGTTGCAAGATTGGAGGGGGGAAGGAAATTTCAGGGGGAGGGGATCGAAATTTGGGGAGAGGGGGGAGGGGGGGATCATAATTGGAGGGGGAGGGGGAATCGAAATTGGACGGGGAAAAGGGGAATCGCAATTGGAGGGGGAGGGGGAATCGCGATTGGAGGGGGGAGGGGGGAATCGCAATTAGAGGGGGAGGGGGGATCGCAATTGGAGGGGGAGGGGAATCGAAATCCTGGGGTGAGCCAAATCTGTACACAATTGTGATCGAGGCCAGATTCAAATGTTTTTAAAGGTTTGGGCGAGTTAGCGGCAAAGTAGCTCAGTCCATCAGGTTACCTCCTTTCAAATGTTTTTAATTTGAAAGCACGCGGGCTTTAAGGCCCAACTAGCACCCTCACCACACCTCGCAATTTTCGAGATCCCCCGAAACCAAAACCTATGGGTTTGGTTTTCGCTTCTCGAGACCCTCGCTTTAAAGCCCAGGTCCCAAATTAGCAAGGTTGACCATCAAACTGGGCCCAGTTTGATGTGGTTCGGGTTGGTAACCCAATCCACCCTCACCCAGACCGGGAAAATGCTGAGGGGCTAACCACCCCTTTTCGCACAAGAACATGCCACCTCCCCTGACAAACCAGCCAGCCAGGGACGGAAATAGCGTGGGCCCAGTTTGATGGTAATTTGGGACGAGGAGGTAGACAGATCCCACAAGGTCCACCCATTTATGTCGGGGAGTTAGGAGCAAAGCGCGTACTTCCAGATATGGACGAAAAAGCCAAGACAAGTCTCACGTGATGAATTGACTCTGTCGCAAGTGAGGCATCAGAATAGGGTTTAGGGTGATGCGAGAGGATAATGACAAGGCAAGAGGCGAGCGGCTCTCGCTGGAGGAGAGGCGACGCGATAGGAGAGGCTTTGCGGTAGGAGAGAGGGGACGCGAAGGAATGTAGCGACTCGATAAGAGAGAGGCCTCGCGGTAGGATAGAGTGAGACGAGGCGAGGGGAGAGATGTGAGCTGAGAGGAGAGAAGTAAGGCGTGAGGAGACAGACGACGCGGGAGGACAGAGGCGACGCAAGAGGAGATGGGCGGATCGAAATTCGAGAGGCGACGCCAGAGGAAATAGCGACACGTGGTGAGAAGAGAGAGGTAAGGCGAGAGGACAGGCGATGCGTGAGGAGACAGTCGACGCGGGAGGACAGAGGCTAGGCAAGGATAGAGGCTAGGCGAGACGAGAGCGGCGACGAGACAGGGGAGAGACGACGCGAGAGGAGAGGAGCGAGGCGTATGGTAGAGGCATGGCGAGAGAAGTGAGCAACACGCGAAAGGCACGGGCTAGACATGGCTGAAAGCGGCGGCGCGAGAGGAGGTAGGCGAGGAGAGGGGATAAAGGCGAGGAGGGAGGAGAGAGATGGCGGGAGGTGAGACAGGAGACGCGGGAGGAGAGAGGTGGCGGGAGAGGAGAGAGGCGCCTAAAGAGAGGAGAGCGGCGAGGGGGGATGAGGGGAAGCACCGCGAGATAGGAGGCGGGTTGAGAAGGGGAGCAATGCAACATACGAAGCGAAGTGGGAGGGGGAGCCACGCGGGATAAGAAGCGTGGCAGAGAGGGGAGGCGAGGCGGAGAGGGGAGGCGAGGCAGAGCGGTGAGGCGAGGCTGAGAGGGGAGGCGAGGCGGAGAGGGGAGGCGAGGCTGAGAGGGGAGGCGAGGCAGAAGGGGGAGGCGTGGCGGAGAGGGGTGGCGAGGTGGGGAGGGGAGGCGAGGCGTAGAGGGGAGGCGTGGCGGAGAGGGGAGGCGAGGCAGAGAGGGGGGGCGAGTCAGAGAGGGGAGGCAAGCAGAGGGGGGAGGCGAGGCAGAGGGGGGAGGCGAGGCGGAGAGGGGAGGCGAGGCTGAGAGGGGAGGCGAGGCTGAGAGGGGAGGCGAGGCGGAGAGGGGAGGTGTGGCGGAGAGGGGAGGCGAGGCAGAAGGGGGAGGCGTGGCGGAGAGGGGTGGCGAGGTGGGGAGGGGAGGCGAGGCAGAGAGGAGAGGCGAGGCAGAGAGGGGGGGCGAGGCAGAGAGGGGAGGCGAGGCAGAGAGGGGGGGCGAGTCAGAGAGGGGAGGCAAGCAGAGGGGGGAGGCGAGGCAGAGGGGGGAGGCGAGGCGGAGAGGGGAGGCGAGGCTGAGAGGGGAGGCGAGGCTGAGAGGGGAGGCGAGGCGGAGAGGGGAGGTGTGGCGGAGAGGGGAGGCGAGGCGGAGAGGGGAGGTGTGGCTGAGAGGGGAGGCGAGGCAGAAGGGGGAGGCGTGGCGGAGAGGAGTGGCGAGGTGGGGAGGGGAGGCGAGGCAGAGAGGGGAGGCGTGGCGGAGAGGGGAGGCGAGGCAGAGAGGGGGGGCGAATCAGAGAGGGGAGGCAAGCAGAGGGGGGAGGCGAGGCAGAGGGGGGAGGCGAGGCGGAGAGGGGAGGCGAGGCTGAGAGGGGAGGCGAGGCTGAGAGGGGAGGCGAGGCGGAGAGGGGAGGTGTGGCGGAGAGGGGAGGCGAGGCAGAAGGGGGAGGCGTGGCGGAGAGGGGTGGCGAGGTGGGGAGGGGAGGCGAGGCAGAGAGGAGAGGCGAGGCAGAGAGGGGGGGCGAGGCAGAGAGGGGAGGCGAGGCAGAGAGGGGGGGCGAGTCAGAGAGGGGAGGCAAGCAGAGGGGGGAGGCGAGGCAGAGGGGGGAGGCGAGGCGGAGAGGGGAGGCGAGGCTGAGAGGGGAGGGGAGGCTGAGAGGGGAGGCGAGGCGGAGAGGGGAGGTGTGGCGGAGAGGGGAGGCGAGGCGGAGAGGGGAGGTGTGGCTGAGAGGGGAGGCGAGGCAGAAGGGGGAGGCGTGGCGGAGAGGGGTGGCGAGGTGGGGAGGGGAGGCGAGGCAGAGAGGGGAGGCGTGGCGGAGAGGGGAGGCGAGGCAGAGAGGGGGGGCGAATCAGAGAGGGGAGGCAAGCAGAGGGGGGAGGCGAGGCAGAGGGGGGAGGCGAGGCAGAGAGGGGAGGCGAGGCAGAGAGGGGGGGCGAGGCAGAGAGGGGAGGCGAGGCAGAGAGGGGGGGCGAGTCAGAGAGGGGAGGCAAGCAGAGGGGGGAGGCGAGGCAGAGGGGGGAGGCGAGGCGGAGAGGGGAGGCGAGGCTGAGAGGGGAGGCGAGGCTGAGAGGGGAGGCGAGGCGGAGAGGGGAGGTGTGGCTGAGAGGGGAGGCGAGGCTGAGAGGGGAGGCGAGGCGGAGAGGGGAGGTGTGGCGGAGAGGGGAGGCGAGGCGGAGAGGGGAGGCGAGGCAGAGAGGGGGGGCGAGGCAGAGAGGGGAGGCGAGGCAGAGGGGGGAGGCGAGGCTGAGAGGGGAGGCGAGGCAGAAGGGGGAGGCGTGGCGGAGAAGGGTGGCGAGGCAGAGAGGGGGGGCGAGTCGGAGAGGGGAGGCAAGCAGAGGGGGGAGGCGAGGCAGATGGGGGAGGCGAGGCTGAGAGGGGAGGCGAGGCTGAGAGGGGAGGCGAGGCGGAGAGGGGAGGCGAGGCGTAGAGGAGAGGCAAGGCAGAGAGGGGGGGCGAGGCAGAGAGGGGAGGCAAGCAGATTGGGGAGGCGAGGCAGAGGGGGGAGGCGAGGCAGAGAGGGGAGGCGAGGCGGAGAGGGGAGGCGAGGCGGAGAGGGCAGGCAAGGCAGAGAGGGGAGGCGAGGCGTAGAGGGGAGGCGAGACAGAGAGGGGAGGCGTGGCGGAGAGGGGAGGTGAGGCGTAGAGGAGAGGCAAGGCAGAGAGGGGAGGCGAGGCAGAGAGGGGAGGCGAGGCGGAGAGGGGAGGCGAGGCGGAGAGGCCCTCTGTCCCTGTGCGCTAACCACCCTGCCGTCCCCTCTCGCCCCATGCACTAGCCCTCCTTGCTTCCCCTCTGTCCCTGTACGCTAACCACCCTCCCCTTTCTGCCTCACCTCCCCTCTCCGCCTCGCCTCCCCTCTCTGCCTCGCCTCCCCCTCCGCCTCGCCTCCCCTCTCCGCCACGCCTCCCCTCTCTGCCTTTCCTCCCCTCTTTGCCTCGCCTCCCCTCTCTGACTCGCCCCCCCTCCACTCTCTGCCTCGCCTCCCCTCTACGCCTCGCCTCCCCTCTCTGCCTTGCCTTCCCTCTCCACCTCGCCTCCCCTCTCCGCCACGCCTCCCCTCTCCGCCTTGCCTCCCCTGTCTGCCTCGCATGCACCAGGGGGAGAGGGGAAGTCTGGGTGGTTAGCGCTCAGGGAAAGAGGGGCAGGAAGGGGGGTTACTGCACAGGGTGAGAAGGGAAGGCAGGGTGGTTAGTGCACAGGGAGAGAGGGGCAGCAAGGGGGGTTACTGCACGGGGTGAGAGGGGAAGGCAGAGTGGTTAGCGTACAGGGACAGAGGGGCAGCAAGGAGGGTTAGAGCACGGGGTGAGAGGGGAAGGCAGGGTGGTTAGCGTACAGGGACAGAGGGGCGGCAAGGTGGGTCATTGTATGGGGTGATAACTAAAGGTTATGGGATAAAGGCGACACGAGTTTCCCACAAAGACCCACCCACCTCCCCCTCACCACTGCCCCCCCCCCCCCCCCCCTCTTCTACGTCTCCACATCATCATGACCCGACTCCCAGTTTCGGGCTCCAGGACCAGCACAATGGCGCATCCCAGCATAAACTCCCTCGGCTACGCTTTCTTTTGCGGAATGCAACGACTGGGCCTTTGTGCTCAGATTCCATCCCAAAAGCAGCTACAAAAGACTATCACCGGCACATGCATGATCTAGGCAATGCAGCAAAGTGTATTTTGAGCCATTGGCCAAACCCAATGACTTTCACTAGGTTAGTTGAGAAACTGTCAGGAGGCATCCCGCCTTGCAATATCGGCATGGAGGGAAATGAGAGCCACATCTTCTCCCACAACCCCCCACGCACAGTGCATGTTTGTAGTATTACACATAGAATGTAACATGCTATCAAAATATGAGTAGTAAAGCTCCGAGCTAGTTGGCTGGCATTCTTGAATAATTACACCCCGGATTCAAAAAGATGCTGCAATAGGATACCCCCACCAGAGAGGGGTGGCTGAGGGGAGCAATCTGAGACAAAACAGCACCCTGGTGAACGGGGGAGACAACCTGCAAGCCATAACGAAGCAGAGAACAAACAAGGAAACTAAGACAAGAGTGGGGAACATGGATGCGATGATGACGAATCCAAGTGAAGGTGCGAAGGGGGAAGGTTCATCTGGTGCTAGTGATTACGACTCTTTGCCTGATGTGTCGAGAGGAGATGGACGACGCGGGTTAGGATAGATCCTAAGTCTGAGAGGGTAGGACAGGGTGGTTAGTGCACAGGGCCAGAGGGGAGGCAATGTTGGATAGTGCAACGGAGGGAGAGGGGAAGTCAGAGTGGTTAGCGCACAGGGTCAGAGGGGCAGCAAGGTGGGTTAGGGCACCAGGGGAAGAGGGGAAGCCAGGGTGTTTAGTGCACAGGAACAGAGGGGCAGCGAGGTGGGTTAGTGCATGGGGTGAGACCAGGGCTTATCTTTGGTTTTTCACCACTCTGATTTTCACGAGTGACTCCTGGCCAAACTCTGATTTTCAGAGTGCCCTGGAGCTCGAACTCTGATTTGTCAGGGTTTTTTTCACACTTTTCAAATAAAAACTCTGATGCCCAGGATTCACTCCCCACGACTATTTCGCAACGTGGTGCTTTATCCAGGAAGACTGCCAAATCGCACCATACTTTTTTTCTAGGCGCGTGCCATATACACAACCCCTACAATTCCGTGCCCAAGACTTGTGCTGAATGAACGCTGAAAAGTGTAGATTTATAGAGATTTCGGCCGAAATCTGCCCAGTACAGTCGGCTGGAAACTGGGATGTCTCGGCCGGCATCTGCCAAAAAAATCATCCAGGCTCTGCTCCGAAATACTTCGACTGGGCACGTTCTGTACTCGGGGAGTCCCTAGGCAGGACTTCGGGGCATCAGTTTGACGGACCAGATGACCCAAAGTGCTGGCTTAGGGGCTCTCGCCGTACCTATATTTGATGCCCCGAATTCTTCCCTTGGGGCTCGCCTCAGGTACAAAACGCGTCCTCAGTCAGCACTGCATCTCGCGCTGGCAAGCATTTCGCGTGGGAATAACAACAACCAATCCTGTCTGCCTGTGAGTGAAGTACAGAAACAATACGCCAGTGATTGGCTGGCGCATGTGCTGTACCAATCGCCTTTGCTGCAATGTTTACGTGTCAACCCCGTGCCAAGTTACACACGTGAAATGTAGCATGATTGACGGTAAGGGCTAGTCGGACAGCACTGAACACAGCTGGGCTAGGTTGGGTTGGGTGTGGGAAGGAGGAATGTGCCTAGGTTGCGTGAGGTATAAGTGTGTTGTGACTGGTTACAGAGGACTTAGCCGAAATTTTCCAGGTTACGGCGGGTATGAGGCGGGATGTGACCAGTTGCGAAGGACTTAGTCAAAATTATCCAGGGTACGTGGGGTATGGGAGGGGTGTGACTGGCAGTCGGAGGACTTAGCCGAATACCGAGAGAACAGGGAAAAATCTAGGAGCATCCCCCCCATTGAAAACTCTTCAGGGTGGTACATAGGCCAACTCTGATAAATCAGAGAAAACTTATACTTTCAAAATTTTACCCAGGACCATCAGAGTGGTTTTCAAAAACGACTCTGATTTTCAGAGAATCAGAGTGATTTACTCTGATAAAATAAGCCCTGGGTGAGACGGGAAAGCACAGTGGTTAGTGCACAGGGACAAAGGGGCAGCAAGGTGGGTTAGTGCACGGGGGGGGAAGGGAAGTCAGAGTGGTCAGCGCACAGGGACAGAGGGGCAGCAAGGAGGGTTGGAGCACGGGGTGAGAGGGGTAGGCAGGGTTAGCTAACAGGGACAGAGGGGCAGCAGGGTGGGTTAGTGCACTGGGGGGAGAGGGGAAGCCAGGGTGGTTAGCGCTCAGGGAGAGAGGGTCAGCAAGGTGGGTAAGGGCATGGGGTGAGGGGGGAAGGTAGGGTGGGTAGCGCACAGGGACAGAGGGGCAGCAAGGTGGGTTAGTGCATGGGGTGAGACGGGAAAGCAGGGTGGTTAGTGCACAGGGACAGAGGGGCGGCAAAATGGCTTAGTGCACGGGGGGAGAGCGGAAGTCAGAGTGGTCAGCGGACAGGGACAGTGGGGCCGTAAGGAGGGTTAGGGCACGGGGTGAGAGGGGAGGACAGGGTGGTTAGCGCACAGGGACAGAGGGGCGACAAGGTGGGTTAGTGCACGGGGGGAGAAGGGAAGTCAGAGTGGTCAGCGCACAGGGACAGAGGGGCAGCTAGGTGGGTTGGAGCATGGGGTGAGAGGGGTAGGCAGGGTTAGCTAACAGGGACAGAGGGGCAGCAGGGTGGGTTAGTGCACTGGGGGGAGAGGGGAAGCCAGGGTGGTTAGTGCATAGGGAAAGAGGGGTAGCAAGGTGGGTTAGTGCACGGGGGGCGAAGGGAAGTCAGAGTGGTCAGCGCACAGGGACAGAGGGGCAGCAAGGAGGGTTAGGGCACGGGGTGAGAAGGGAGGACAGGGTGGTTAGCGCACAGGGATAGAGGGGTGGCAAGGTGGGTTAGGGCACTGGGGGGAGAGGGGAGGACAGGGTGGTTAGCGCACAGGGACAGAGGGGCGGCACGATGGGTTAGTGCACGGGGGGAGAAGGGAAGTCAGAGTGGTCAGCGCACAGGGACAGAGGGGCAGCAAGGAGGGTTAGGGCACGGGGTGAGAAGGGAGGACAGGGTGGTTAGCGCACAGGGACAGAGGGGTGGCAAGGTGGGTTAGGGCACTGGGGGGAGAGGGGAGGACAGGGTGGTTAGCTCACAGGGACAGAGGGGCGGCACAATGGGTTAGTGCACGGGGGGAGAAGGGAAGTCAGAGTGGTCAGCGCACAGGGACAGAGGGGCAAAGAGGTGGGTTAATGCATGGGGTGAGACGAGAAAGCAGGGTGGTTAGCGCACAGGGAAAGAGGGGCGGCAAGGTGGGTTAGGGCACCGGAGGGAGAGGGGAAGCCATGGTGGTTAGTGCACGGGGGGAGAAGGGAAGTCAGAGTGGTCAGCGCACAGGGACAGAGGGGCAGCAAGGTGGTTAAGGGCATGGGGTGAGGGGGGGAGGCAGGCTGGTTAGCGCACATGGACAGAGGGGCAGCAAGGAGGGTTAGGGCATGGGGTGAGAGGAGGACACACACAGGAGGACATCGGGGATAATGGCCTACATCAGGGGGGGAACCAGCTCACCGTGCGCAGGCCGGATGAACTATGTGGAGGCCCCAAACTGGAGCAGTGTAAAGTCCCACACTCCACTGCGGTTGTGGTATTATTGTGGCATAAGGACCATGGCCCCTTTTTGTAAATAGGGGAGAGAGGGAGGCGGGTTTAGGGGGGGAGAGTCAGACAACACGTGTCGTGAAGCATGTGCATGGCAACCAGAGTTGGGACGTGCTCGCGGTTCGTTGTGCGTCAAGTCCAAGTTACAAGGCATGCTAGGAGGCACGGCTCGGGTTGACGGCAACATAACGATACAACTCACCGTTTAGGCTGCGCCGTGCCCCAAGGGCCGGGGCTCGCGTCGCGCGGCTCGTGTCGACTGCCGAAGATCTCAAATTGTGCACGTTGGAGCCCACTGAAATTCCGGGAGACGCAATGTCGGGAGGCGAGACTGCTGTCTGAGGTGTTGCTGTCCCCGTCTGTGCCCGAGTTGCAGGCGAACCATTCATGGCCGTCGACGCAAGATCATCATCAGTCTGTTCCTCCGAGGGTCGCCGCCACTCGTGTAGGATGTTGTCGACCCAACACCAGTCCATCGGACCCAGTACCCGGTCCCTCCGTCCGCGCCGCACTCTCGTGATATGACGCACACGCGTGACAAAAGCGCGCACGATCCGGTCCATGCAATTGTTCCAATGTATTACTGCCAGAGCCACCCTCGCGTCATAGCTTCCTTGAAACCTGTTTCTTTTTGGGGCGTACTTCAGAATGAGCGAATGAAATGACTCATTCATGGAACTCGTAGCGCCCTCCACAATGCAAGCCACCTTGGCTATACTAAAGTTCCTACGACACCAATCCCTCACTGCCAAGTGTGTAGCGGAGTTCCGCTCGTATATAGCGCACTCAGGACCCCAGTTCTCCGACACGCATTTTGGCGTTGCACCTGCCCGTGCACCACACCGTGAGTGATCCCCTGCCCAGTGGTCAGCACACAGGCACAACTCCTCCGATACCTCCTCGGGAGTCGGAGTGTTCCCGTCAGCCGACCGTGCCCCGCTACGCAGCATACAATGATAAAAGTGCACGCCCAACCTGTCCGCCACGGTGTGCACCTTTTTGCCCCCCCGTGGTGCCCCGCTGTCTTCCCCACCGGCAGCCGACCCTCTACGCGTCCGTCTTCTTGGGGCTCGCCGACCCCAACGCCTGCCGCTCTGCTGCTGGGTCCCCGCTGCCGGATCCACGTTCTCGTCTGCCCCACTTCCCTGTCTGTTGTTTTCCTCTCCCTCCACATCCATGTCGCCACCGCCCATGTGGGCTTGGTTGCCTGCACGCACAAAATCAGAGCGCATGTGATTGGCCGCTCACATGAGAACCCGATCGACTGCAAGATGAACTCAATAACCGATTTGAATGATCACGCACATCCGTTCATAGCCGTTTCTCTCCACACAGAAAGCTCTACTACATATCACCTGGGTTTGTATTTGGTACTTGATCGTCTTCCATCATGAAGTGACGCCCCTCCCCGATGCCGTTCCATGCTTGGACAAGCAACATCGATGCGTGCGAGTGGGGCCGTATCCCCCGCACTGGATGGACGTCACCATCCCACAATTCCTCCACATCAGACCATCTAACCATAGCGTCCGGCATCCTCTCCGTACCCCCCTCAGCCATGCCTCCATTCCTGTCGCTTTCACTTTCCTCTGGCGCATCTCCTCCTACCGCCCCCGCCCCCTGCTCCCTTGGTACTTCCCCTCGTCCCGTGTTGTTGGCTGTCCTAACTCCCCTTTCCAACCTCACTACTTGTTGCAGCTCTAGGTGCAAATACTTTGCATCCGACTCCTTCATGTCTTTGAACTCAAACGCACGCAAAAGACATACTGCGCGAATGATTTCTTTTTTCCCCGCCGATCTGCTCACCCCCCACCGCCTCGGGAAGGATGCCCTAACCACTCTAACAGTTTTTTCACTGTGATTAGATATAGATCCTCACATACGATTGCCCCGTCTACCGTGCCAGCCTTTCGAGTCGCGTCCTGCACCTTTTCCCTAAAGTTACGGACCACAGAACCACACTTATGCCACCAATCTACTTGGTGCTTCACACCTCGCTCGTTGGCGGCTCCACTATAAGTGTTTCCCTCATCCGTGACAATGCCCTCTAGCCCAAAACCACTATTCACTAACTCGTCCATGCCCTGGTTGAACGCTACCCTCTCTAGCATCACCGATGAGTCGTCATCCCTCCCTCTCCTAGTGTTTTTACACATCATGATTTTTCGGGATTCACGGTCCATGAACGACACCGTGCACCATTTGGCTTCGCGAACATTCGACCAACGACCATCGATGCACAGCCATCTTCTATTTACTGGACGCTGTGACATGCTCACTCGAACTGCTTCCATACTGCTTTTGGCCTGCTCTATGATCGCACTCCATAGACCACTATCGCCACCCATGAAGCGGTAAAATGTTCCATGGCCTGGACGTGGAACACCCAAGCTGCGACATATCTCCCAAGTTTGTTGATACCCGATTCCTGCTAGAGCAAAGGCTCCCACAAGCTTATGCATCACTGGAGGGGTTCGTGGTCCAGGCTTACTCGATGGCAAATCGTCCCTTACCCTACTGGTCGACCACATCTTATCCTTTGTAGGACAAGAGGTGCACATCCACAGCATTCCAAAACACGCCCACGACCTCTTCCATGATGCAAGCATCATCTCACCCTGACAGCCATTTTTCTGACAGTAACCCAACGCCCGGCCACAATAGAAGGAAACCATCACCCTCGGATCAAGGAAACATAGCATGTCCGATGGAAAGTCGTCCCAGTTTGGATGGGATTTCCACCCTTGCGGCACCCGCCTTGGGGCCGGTCCCTCTCGTGGTGCTGATCTGCAAGTACGACATGGAATGACAGAACACGGTTGTGGTGTACTGTGGCCTGTGTCGGACTCAGTTGCATGACAAAGCGGACGATACTCTAGGTGTTGCATTCCTCCTATAGATTGCGCACGCGAATATCTTAGGGTCCTCTCAAAATTGCCACCAGGATCCTAGAGCACTCACCCGTCATGAACATCGACCGCCTCGGCTGCATCGTTTGCAGATATCCCCCCATCTCCAAGACGTGCCCCCGTTTCATGGGACCCTTCTCGGACCTGCCCCATGGCACCAGATCCTTCAGCACTCTCACCCATATGCGAGCCACCCCCCCCCCCTAGCTGCCGGATCACGACCTTCTTGCCTCGCAGTACCGAGTAACCTCCCCCCCCTTGTCGGCGCATCATGGCAGCCTCCCCCCCCATTGCCATCTCCGCGCTGCTGTCCTCCAGTATCTGTCGCCGAACTGTCGTCCGACTCCTCCGACGTGCTCGCTCCCGCCGGCGCGGCCCCATCTACAGGAACATTGTCGCACGTTAGCACCGATGTCTGTCTCATCTCCCATTTCAACGACTTGACGCGACCACTAAGTCATCCTAAAGACATCCACACACCTGTTGCTTGATGATTTACCCATCTTGATCCCTTGCGTGCGCCACCCCATCCATTTCCGTTGACCCTCCGCATACCACCCCTCCCCACCTCCTCCCAGGGTGGGAAGTCGTAATCCACACCAGCCAACTCTCTATTCCCGCGGTCCAGAATGTCATCCATCTTCGCCGCACCCCGGCCCATTCGTTTCCAGAACGTAGTGGACGAAGCCGCAAGATGTAGTTTCACCACCTCATTGGCTGCGTGCCCATGAGGTCCTGCGTTGTGCACCAGCACAAACGAACCATTAGTTCCTTGTTTATTCCAATACACGTACCTTCACATATACTTTTTGACGAGTTGATGTACACACGTCAGCTCACCTGCATTCGCGGCAGCCTGCCGTAATCTCGCTGTTACGTTCGGGGCAGCGTGCATGTAGATTCTTAGTAGGTCACTGAGTGTGGCCAAACGCGGCCCAGGCATGAGCACGCTCAACCCCATGCACAAGTAGCAGATGGGTGCTCGTAACGACCACTCTACATTGTGTCGGCGCACATCGTATGTTTGGCATGCCCGTGCTGCATTGCGGGTTGCCCGTCCCCCACAAGGCTCCTTGTACAGTACGAGCGCAGAAAGGGGGCAACATGTGCAGTTTGGTTCACGACATTGGTGATGGTTCTCATATTTCAACGCGACCCAGTACCACAAGGGATCATCCACTCCTTGCACAACAGGTGCGCCCATTATATTTCACCCGTCACCAACAACCCAACTGTGGGGGCTGAGGCGTGGCACCACAAATGAATGATTGCGTAGTGGGCAACCCTCATTACATTGTCAAGGCTGTTCTCGTACCCTCACTTACCGACAGTCGGTATGCACATGTATACTAGATCCCCCACGCTGCCCGCCATGTGGGCTCGTTCCGCCCCGCCTCGCGCCCAACATTCTCGACACTGTCACCACCCTTCTGCCACACACACAGAGTAGTGAAGACAAGCATAGCCCATGTGGAACATTGCTTGCCAATTTCCATGGGGATGGGTTGAATCGAGGGATAGCAACTCCTCCTTGCCAAACATGACCCTCCAATATCCCCTTTCTCACCCTCCCAATCCACATCACATGAACACTTGCTCCCACCCTGCTCCGCAGCTGGCCCTTGCTCCGCATCTCCCACCTTGCTCTGCATCTTGCCCTATCCATCTTGCTCCCCTCCTGCAACCGCGCACCCCACAGCCTAGCTCCTCATCGCACCCCAGAGCATATCTACCGATGCTCCCTCTCGTAGGCTGCACTCTATCCAGCCTTGCTACAGTGGTCCCCCCGAGCCCTCTGAACCCTAGCTCCCCATTTCACCCCACACCCTATCCATCCATGCTCCCTTCCCTCTCCCCACTCTCTCCACCCGTTCCCCTCTCACCCCACGGCCTATCTACGCCCCACCGCTTACGCTATACGCCCCTATTCAGCCTTACTCCCATGGTCACTAGCGCCCTCTGTACCGTCGCTTCCTATTTTACTCCATGCACTATGCAGCGGTGCTCCCCCACTCACCCCACAGCCTATCCACAAACCGGGATGAGGCATAGCAAACCGGAAAAGGTGGGGGGGGGGGGGGGGGTTTGCTGAACAGGGAGATGTGGTGCACCTGGTTCTGTTGCAATGCATGATCAACCCAGAAGCACAACATCATGCATAATAAACATGCAACATGCCATGCTTGAAAAGCCCAATCCCACCCAGCCACTGAATTTCAGCCCCAGCATCATGCCATGGTAGAGTTTCGCAAGCTAAACTCGGTATGAGGCAATTGGCGAGAGAGAGGGAGGGAGCATTGTATCAGGTGGGGTGGGTGAGGTGGAGACATAGGGGTGCAGAGCTGTGGTGGTAGGCTGTGTGGCTAGATCCGGATTCTTGACACTACCGCGGATTTCCCAACTCCGGCCCGACATAGGGGTGCAGAGCTGTGGTGGTAGGCTGTGTGCTTAGATCCGGACTCTTGACACTGCTGGTTGGGTTTGCTTTGTCGTTGCCCGGCTGGAAAATCCATCAAATCTTGCGTGGCCTGTCCATTTTCCCAGCTTCCCCTATCTCCCCACGCCCTATCCAACATGCACCCTGCGCTCTCAACGGGTATTTTCCAGCCGTGTTCTCCCGTTTCAATCAGCACCCTACCCACACTTGCTCCCGTTCTCACCCCACACCCACTCCACTCTTGCTCAACCGGGCATACCACGCATCCAGCATCCCTTACACTCTCACACCCCACGCCCTATCTAGCCTTGCTCCCCCTCTCACCCCGCGCCATATCCAGCATCCATTCACTTCTCACCGCACGCCCTACCCAGCCTTGCTTCCCCACTCACCCGACACTCTAAACTGCATTGCTACCCCTCTCACCCCCCGCCCTACCCAGCCTTGCTTCCCCGCTCACCCCACACCCTATCCAGCCTTGCTTCCCCTCTCACCCCACGCCCTTTCCAGCCTTGCTTCCCCTCTCACCCCATGCCCTATCCAGCCTTGCTTCCCCACTCACCCGACACTCTAAACTGCATTGCTTCCCCTCTCACCACCCGCCCTACCCAGCCCTGCTTCCCCTCTCAACCCACGCCCTATCCAGCCTTGCTTCCCCTCTCACCCCATGCCCTATCCAGCCTTGCTTCCCCACTCACCCACACTCTAAACTGCATTGCTTCCCTCTCACCCCCGCCCTACCCAGCCTTGCTTCCCCGCTCACCTCACACTGTAAACTGTCCTGCTTCCCCTCTCACCCCACGCCCTACCCAGCCATATTTCCCACTCACCCCGCGCCTTGCCCAGCCTTGCTTCCCCTCTCTCCCCACACTGTAAACTGTCTTGCGTCCCCTCTCACCCCACGCCCTATCCAGCCTTGCTTTCCCTCTCACCCCACGACCTATCCAGCCTTGCTTCCCCTCTCACCCCATGCCCTATCCAGCCTTGATTCCCACTCACCCAACACTCTAAACTGCATTGCTTCCCCTCACCCCCCGGCCCTACCCAGCCTTGCTTCCCCGCTCACCTCACACTGTAAACTGTCTTGCTTCCCCTCTCACCCCACGCCCTACCCAGCCATATTTCCCCACTCACCCCGCGCCTTGCCCAGCCTTGCTTCCCCTCTCTCCCCACACTGTAAACTGTCTTGCGTCCCCTCTCACCCCACGCCCTATCCAGCCTTGCTTCCCCTCTCACCCCACGACCCTATCCAGCCTTGCTTCCCCTCTCACCCCATGCCCTATCCAGCCTTGCTTCCCCTCTCACCCCACGACCTTTCCAGCCTTGCTTCCCCTCTCACCCCACGCCCTATCCAGCCTTGCTTCCCCTCTCACCCCATGCCCTATCCAGCCTTGCTTCCCCACTCACCCAACACTCTAAACTGCATTGCTTCCCCTCACACCCCCGCCCTACCCAGCCTTGCTTCCCCGCTCACCTCACACTGTAAACTGTCTTGCTTCCCCTCTCACCCCACGCCCTACCCAGCCATATTTCCCCACTCACCCCGCGCCTGCCCAGCCTTGCTTCCCCTCTCTCCCCACACTGTAAACTGTCTTGCGTCCCCTCTCACCCCACGCCCTATCCAGCCTTGCTTCCCCTCTCACCCCACGCCCTATCCAGCCTTGCTTCCCCACTCACCCAACACTCTAAACTGCATTGCTTCCCCTCACACCCCCGCCCTACCCAGCCTTGCTTCCCCGCTCACCTCACACTGTAAACTGTCTTGCTTCCCCTCTCACCCCACGCCCTACCCAGCCATATTTCCCCACTCACCCCGCGCCTTGCCCAGCCTTGCTTCCCCTCTCTCCCCACACTGTGAACTGTCTTGCGTCCCCTCTCACCCCACGCCCTATCCAGCCTTGCTTCCCCTCTCACC